TCTCTCTCTCTCTCTCTCTCTCTCACACACACACACACACACACACACACACACACACACACACACACACACACATGCACGCATGCACACACACATGCACACCCACATACAAAGATTTTATGCGTCTTACTATGAACAAATGCATTACCATTTTTTGTGACATATATGACTTATCACACCTGAATAGAATAATTTAATCGTGGAAGATTTAGAATATTTACTTATTTATGCATTGTTTTTTAATCTTCCGGTAACTTATAACTGTTTCAATTGGGAAACAAGTTTGTGTTGCCTCTTCATGGATTAGAATTGTACCTTTCTTGTATGTATTTTGACTCACAAACTTGCATTTGGATCCTGTACAGGTAGAATTGTTATTGGCTTGTATGGTCAGGTGGTCCCAAAAACTGTTGGTATGTTTGGTCCATATCTCCTGTTATTATTTATTGTTGTGATCTCAATATCAAATTTTAAACGAGAACTGACTATCCCTTTTCCTGGGCTTCTTGAATTTGCATATTGTTTTATGTAATATTATCATAGTATTTGCAAGATAGCTATTCACATATCTTTTAGTGCTTGAACATATGGTGAATATTGAGTTCATGGAACTTGATGTATCAATCTCTTAGTTTGCAATAAGAAACAATATTTGTAGTTCTTGTCAATTTATTATTTTCTGAAATCTATTGGAACTCCTAATCTTCTTGACACAAATTGATTGTGGATGCTCAATTGAGTGTAATAAACACCCTTTATATGTTTTGTTCCCCTTTTCTAAAGGAATCTGGCAATGTGGTTCAATTTACTAGAAACTAGAATGCAGTTTCTTTACTGTCCACTCCCTGCTTGAACTAAACGATTGTCTGTTGTGAAATGTGGGTATACATGACCTTTTTCTTTACACCCTCTGCCATAAATGTAAATTAATGGATTCATGGATTTCTTGCTCTATAAAACTCGTTGGAAACATTTTCTCAAAAAAAAAAAAAAAAAATTTTCTCAAAAAAAAAAAACCTCATTGGGAACATCGGTGGAAGAGTTGGAGGCGAGCAACAAATGGGTACAGCAAAAGATTCTCACAGGGGATTGGAATGATGGATATGGACAATGTAATTAAAAGATAATGATAAAAGAGATGTAATTAAAAGTGTGGGAATATTGTTGTACCTGTGGTAAACTTGGAGCTGGTATTTTGGGTTTGTGGAAAGATGGGGTGGAGTTGGGAGGATGGTGAGAATGTTAATTGATAGGTGGGGTTGTGAATGCAAAAGCAACCAAATACACGAAAAAGACTGAAGAATTGGCTAAGTATTGACATGTGTTGACTTAGTACTGAAAATAAGGGTCCATCACTCTTTTATTGTCAAGATTTTCTGTTAGAAGATTTGTTTTATGTATATTCTTGTATTTGGAAGTACGTATTTGTACAAGGGCATTTTCATAAAGCTGTTACCTAATGTAACACAACTTAATTAATAAAAGTATTCCTTGTCCTCGGCATGCCTCTACTGCGCAGTTTTGTTCATGCTAAAGCCTAGTGTGCCTCCTAGTCTTCTCTCTCTTGTTTTCCTCTTGTTTGTATTCTAAGTGCAAGACCTTGTCAGTATCAGTAATTTAGCATGGTATCAGGGCAGGCTTGGTGAATAAAAAAATCCAGCTGCACTAGTTTTATCTCTCTTGATCCCTTTCTAAGTTATTCTCTTAGTTAGGGTTCCATTAATATGAAGAAACTGTAAGTTCATTCATCTCTGTGTTTTCGTGGATGCTTTCTTTTCGATCTTAGAGTTTTGCTCAAAGTCTTCAATTATATTGTTTAGATATCCCTTCTCTATCTAAACTGAGTTTTTTTTTTTTTGCAAACTAGTTTTTTTGCTTTATAGAAATCAGTCTACTCTGTTTCTTGCTCTCCAAGACCTCCCCTTATTCTCCCTTCTCCACATCTGGTGCGATTATAATTTGTGCCCATTTTCCTCAGCATGGCACAATCATCGCGTTCTAATTCCTGCTCATTCCTAAATCCTCAATATATTTGTCAAAGTTGAATATGCTAATTTATTGTCTGGAAAGGGACTGTTGTTCCTTTCATCAGATGCCAACGTCCCTATGGCCATTTGGATGGATCCACTGGGCCCACCACCAGAATACACCATTCAAGAAAGCACAAATTCAGATGAAAAGAAAGAGATCACTACAATGGTCAATTCAACCTATAAGGAATGGCTCACTAAAGATCAAAATCTTATTGGCTGGATTAATTCAACCTTTCTTGAAGAAATTTGGGCTCAAGTGGTTAATCTACCTACAACGTAGGTGTTTGGACGGCCCTTGGTGAGCCTTATTGTTAGGAATCGGAGGCTTGTGTCATGCAATTAAAAATCTGAGAATGGGATGCATCAATGTCTGAATTTTATAACAAGGTAATAGCAAGGAATCATTCCCCTTCTTTTTCCAACCTTCGAGCCCGGTTGCTACAGTATGAGGCATTCTTCTTTCGGAGATAGGCACATAAATTGTCTCCCAGTAATGAGAACCATAATATCCTTGTTACTAACAAGAACAATACTACACCAAATTCTAATAATTTTCAGGGAACTAATGGAGGTCGTGGGGGTCTACGTGGTAAACAAAAGGGCTTGGTGGCAGAAACTTCTATGGTACTGCTTGGGGTCTCTAATCTACTCTAATGGAAATTGAAATAGAGTCATCTGTCAAATATGTGGAAGAGGAGGACATTAAGCCGGCAACTATTTCGACAGATACAAGAATGACAATGAATTTAATAGCGGAAATCAAATCATTACCTTGGCCCATACTGAGAGTACAGCTGCAACATTAAATAATTCTGTGGAATCTCTTGCCATTACTTCTCCTACTGATGGAGCATGGACTGTGGATAGTGGGGCTGCCAACCATGTATCTCGAGATCCTGGTTTGTTTTCTTCCCTCGATCCTTTTACTGCTAGTGGTTCTATTATAATTGCCGATGGGTCCTCCGTCAACATCACACATGTGCGTAATATCACAGTTGAGTCTTCTTTTGGTCTTATTCACTTGAATCATGTTTTGCTTGTTCACAATCTTTCCTAACTTGTGCGTGATCATGGGATTAACTGTCTATTTACTTCCGAATTTGTTTCCTTGAAGGAAGAACAATCGGGAATCATGTTCCCTAGGGGAACTCGTCGTGGACAGTTAAATGTGATATATTGCCTTATGAAAAAGTATCCGATGCTGGTCTTGAGTAAATGTTAGTCAAGACACTGATTTATGGCATCATCTGGGTCATTGCAATAATGAGTCATTTAATAAACTTTGTAATGAGCCTCAAATGTCACAGATCTTAGTCGATTCCTTTGTTATGGATGTCAGTTAGGCAAAAGTTCTAAACTTCGCTTTTCTTTATTTAATTAAAGAGCTTCTTCGCCATTTGAGGTCATTCATTCTAATGTGTGGGGTCCTCCACCTGTTTGTTTTTATTCTCGTTCTTATTAGTATGTTACATTCATTGATGATTATTCAAGTTATGCATGGGTGATTTTTCCCTTTGATGTATTTGGGGTGTTCATGAAGTTCCAAGTCATTTGTTGAAAAACATTACTTGAAAATGAATCTTATTTTTTTGTAGTGATGGAGGGAGTGAGTAATTATCCCATGCTTTCAAAAAACTGCCTAAAGGATCATGGGATAGAACAAAAGGTGTCTTGTCCCCACACTCCAGCCCAAAACAGAGTTGGTGAGAGAAAGAATCTGGATATTAATGAAGTAGCATTGTCTCTTATGTTTTCTAGTGGTGTGCCCAAGTACTTATGTACCGAGGCTTTTCACACAGCTGTATGCCCTATTAATAGGCTGTCATCAAGTGCTCTTAATGGGATCAGCGTCCATATAGTACTTAGTAAACATCCAGATTATTCTTTGATGAAGTCCTTTGGATGCTATGCATATGTGCACATAGATAACAACCAAAGAAATAAGCTCTCTCCCCTAAGACTGAAGTGTGTATATTTGTTGGCTATGCTGATGAGTATAGAGGATATAGATGTTGCAATCCTAAATTGAAGAATATTAATTTCCAGGCATTTTGTTTTTGATGAAAGGCGCTTATGGTAACCTCCAAAGGAAATGTTCACAAGTGATGCATGTTTTAAAGGGAATAAATTTAAGATGGCACTGTTCATCGCCAACCTATGATAGTTGGAAAATTCTAAACACTTGTGAAAAAACGACATAATAAGAAGAGAAACAATGCGGAACATATTGGAGATGACACTGACATAAATAGGGCAGATGGAAACATACCTGAAACAAATCAAGGTGGCGGCTAGATTGAAGAAAATATCCATGCAGGGGCATCATATGACTCAGGAGAACATTTTCGACACTTCTTTGATACCAATGAAGAAATGCAAATTAAACAAGTCAACAAAGACATTGTATATCAAAGAAGGTCAAAGATTGGACCGGAATCTCATAATTTGCAGTCAACTTTACAAGATTTCCAACAACCTCAAGATAGAGAACTACACGAGGATGAATAACAAGATGAAGTCAGTTTGAGAAGTGAACAAGAGTGAAACATCATATTGATAGATGGGTTAGCTATGGAAGTTTCCCACATAATTTTCAGGTGTTTAGTGTGAAATGACAACGATAAAAGAACCCAGAAATTTCTTTGAAAGCTAGAAGAGATGAGAGGTGGATTAGAGCCATGGCAAAAGAGATACGAGCCATGCATCTTAACCGTGCTTGGTGCATTGTACGAAGACCGAGAAACCGAGAGACAAGAATGTGGTGAGTTGTAAATGGGTACACGAAGTGAAATATGAACCTGATGGAGCATGGTTAGGTTTAAGGCAAGACTTGTGGGAAGAGGATTTAACCAACGGCATGGCTTAGACTATGAGGAAACCTTTAGTCTAGTTGTTAAAATTATTTCCGTAAAAGTTGTTTTATCTCTTGCCTTCATGCACGGTTTCTTTATCAATCGGATTTTAAAAATGCTTTCTTGCATGGAGAATTAAAGGAAGAAGTATATATGGAATGGTATATATGGAGCAACCACTTGGGTTCAATGAAAACAAACCCAGTTGAATATGTTTGTAAGTTAAAGGATATATATAGGGGTTGAAGCAGGCATCCATTACCTGGTTCCACAGTTTTTATGATGCATTAAAGGGGAGAGTTTTATTCGATCAGCCAGTGATAGCTCTCTATTCCTTTAGAAAGTTGAGAAAGGCACTGTTATTAGTTTGTTATGTGGATGACATTATTGTTACAGGAAGCAATATGGGGATGATAAATGAGGTAAAGGAGTTCCTTAATGTGAGGTTTCAAATGAAGGGTCTAGGAGAATTGAGGTTTCCTACGAATTGCAGTGGATAATTTTTGTAGTGAGATTTGCTTTTCATGTAAAAACTGTGCTGGGAAAGGCCAATATGTTGAGTTGTAAACCTTAGTTGCACTCCAGTAGCTTTAAATAGAAGATTATGTGCCGATCAAGGAGCCCCACTGTTAGAGCTAGAAAATTGGCAGGGGCATTACAATATTTGACTCCTACTCGACCATATATTTCATAAGCTGTTAGTCAAATATGTCAGTACATGCCTGCACCAACCATTGTACACATGGAGGCATTGAAAAGGATTATGATGTATATGAAAGATTCCAATGGCAGTGGTTTGTTGTATAAGAAAAATAAACAAGTGAGTGTGGACTTGGGGTCTATAGTTGGATAGTTAGATGTAGATTGGGCAGGAGATCCTGATTCTAGAAAATTAGTTTCTGATTATTGTGTTTTTTGGGAGATAATTTAATATCGTAGAAGAGTAGAAAATAGAAAGCCCTTGCCAGATCAAGCACTGAAGCAGAATATAGGGCTTTTGCTGGAACAGTGTCAGAGATTGCATGGTTTCGTAGTCTCATATCTTGGTTGGGTTGTAAAGTTGGCAGATTGTCCATCTACTGCGACAATAGAAGTGCTTTAGCAATTGCTACAAACCCAATAGCATGAAACACATTGAGAATGATTACTATTTATCCCAGAAAAGGTTGAGGCAGAAGAGGTTGAAACAAACTTTATTGGTACAAAAAATCAAATTGCAGATATACTTACAAAACGTTGATCAAGGGAAAGGCATGATTACCTAGGAAGCAAGTTGTACATGTTGAGAGGGAGAGTTAGAAGACTTGTTTTATGTATATTGTTTTTGTTTTATGTAAATTCTTGTATTTGGAAATATGTATTTTGCAAGGGCATTTTCATAAAGCTTTTCACCAAATGTAATACCACTTATTTAATATAAGTGTCCATTGTCTTGGGCATGCCTCTACTGCTCAGTTCTGTTCATACCAAATCCTAGGGTGCCTCTTAGTCTCCTCTCTCTTGTTTTCTGTTGTTTTCCTCTTGTTTGTGTTCCAGGCGGAAGACGTTGTCAGGATAAGTAAATTTAACATTTTCCTGAGATGCCCATATTTTAGTTCTTGAAGAAGGAGGTTGATTAATGAGAAATGGAATCTAAAGTGGGGAAAATCTGCTTCATGGAGGAAATTACCTTGTTTTCATATATTTTTAAACTAGTTCCATAGAGATGCTGGTGTGTAGGGTTAGAGAGGTAGTTGTTAGAGAAACATTAACTGTCGGGAAAGGGGGGCAACAACTGACAATAGGTGAGGTGTTGAACTCCAAAGGTGCCAAAATACGTCTTTCCACTTATTTGATGGAACATTCTAAGTGTGGAAGCAATTATGGATGGGTCGATATGGTGGCCTGGATTTTTGGGACTTTCTTAAGTATTTTATGTGTTATTGACGATATCAAAGATTGCTAGAAGTTGCTGGCAGGGCTTATAGTGAAACTAGATGAAGTTGGGAGGAAAATCCTGAGAAATGGGTTATGAGGGTTATGGATTGTATTATTATGTAGGAATAGACTTAAGTGAAGGAAATGGAGGGCACAAAATGGAGTGAATTTAAGGGGTATAACAGTGGGAGGTGTCACTTTTAACATAAGAAGGCAAAGGAGAACTGAGACATGAAGTTACAGTATTTCGGGTTCAAGGGGAGGGCTACAGGTGTAGCAAGTTGATGAGATGGCCTAGTTTTTAGTGGATTTTTCTAGTGATAGGTGGTTGTGGATCTGCTACGCTTATTGTTGGAAGTTTTCACAACTGTGAGAGAGAGAGAGAGAGAGAGAGAGAGAGAGAGAGAGAGAGAGAGAGAGAGAGAGTAGTAGTAGTAGTAGAGTAGTATAGTAAGTAAGAGTAGTAGTAGTAGTAGTAGTAGAGTACGTACGTTACGTTAGTTACGTTAGTTGTTGTTACGTCGTAGTGTG